TGTATTGTGTTTGTACTTAGTTTTAATTGATTTTATGATTGTTCACGACGCAGAGTCACTTGTTTGAGATAGGCGGCCATAGAAATTGAATAAATAAATAAATAAATTCAAGTATTTTAGGAGTGCTGTACTAAGATATCCTTCTTCTATCATCTTTTCTCAAGGTTAAACATACCCAGCTTCTTCAGTCAGTCTTCATAGGACTTAATTTCTCCTAAGTCTGAAGGCAGCACTCATAAAAATTAAAACAAAGGCATGATTGCCTGTATTTAAATATTGGCTAAAAGTTAATTTTCAATATCAGGATCTGCTAGGTCTTATTCTGACAGATAAATATTTCCTGGAAACAACAATTAGAAGGCAACTTACAAAGCAAAACAAAAACAGGTTTTTCAATCGAGATGCTGATGTCCCAAGAATAAGCTGTATACCCTTCCTTTCTGAACTGGCCCTTTTTCTGCTTCCCTTATGTGTCCTTTTCATCTTTCAGACCTTTACTAAGGTTTTTGTGCAGCCTACCTGGCTTCTTTTCTTACCCTCCACCTTTTTCCTCATTGGGATTGTTTGCAATTGTCTCTTTAGTATCTCTTTCTTTAAGCTATCCTCCCCATTTTGAGCATTTTTTAAGTTCAAGATACACATTTGACTACACTCAGTTGAAGTTTCCCTTAAAATTAAAAACTAAAGCATTGCTTGGTCACCTTCCCTTGATGTTCACGTTAATTTCAGTACAAATTTTTCTTCACCCAGAACAAGAGGTGACAAGTTTGAAACTATCATGCTTTACTTTCTATGTGGGCATATCTCTATTTATTTACATCTGACCAGAATGGTCATCTTGCATAATAATAGTTGTTTTGTAGGTGAAGTAGACAAGGCATGACAAAGAATGTAGCCGGACAGATTTAAAACCTATAAAATGAAATAGCTGCACTTAGGTATGCACAGTAAGTAACTGGGACAATCTCCTACATTAGCTTCACACTGAAGGCTTTATTTTTTTTAATCCAGAAAAAAATATATAATTTGTTAATATAGGTAATGTGCATTTATTGAAGCAGAACAGATAATTAACACCCTGCACCATGTAATTATTACAAAATAATCTTATTCCTGTTTTGTATTTTTAAACAAAAGCAATGAGTCATTTATATTCATTTATCTATACCATACAGTTTGCCCCTGCTAAGAAAGTGAGATCTATCCTCTTTATTCCTGGATGTACAACAAACCTTTTCTCTGTTTCTTTGCTCTCATATCTTGATACAATCTTTGTATTACAATTTTCACTCATCCAGCTTCAGTACCCTTAGCCAATCCCTAGATTGCTTGTTTTCCGAAATTATTCTCTCCGTTCTCTATTTTCTCATGCTTACCTCCCATGGAATATATAGAATGATAAGGTTTTGTTTTGTTTTTAACAAGTAGCTATGCCTAAGCAGGTTATAATTAAAATAACCTCAGAATAATCACCTCTCTCTTTCTTCTCTGTTGTTTCTCTTTGTCTATTTTTAGACTGTAAACCCTTTGGGGCAATGTCCTATCAAATCTATTCTGAATAAAATACCTTGTACATAGAGGGCATTGAATCTACACAAGTTGTTGTGGCTGTTTCTATTAATAGGTGATAAGCAATAAATGAAAAAAGGCCCTAAAAAGATTGTATGAAAAGATCCTTTGGAATCACTATTCTAATTTCAGGTAAAAGAATTATCTTAATAAGCCCTGTTGGCTTTCTCTTCCAAATGACCTTGAAATGGTTTCCGAACAACAGGTCTGAGAAATTGATTACTGTATATCAGATATTTCTTCCAGTTGTCGGCTCCTCTGTTAATTTTCAGCTTAGTTTTTATTACAGAACAAAATATTTGCTGAGCAAGCGTTCTGCCCCTTTCTTAAGAAACACCTTAAAATGGTTCATGAAATGCAGCCACCTTAATATGAGAGAAATAACAGGACCTGTATAGCTTAGTGTAAATAGCTAAGGAAGAAGGCTGATTTACAAAGTGAGTATGATGGGAAGAGTGATTTGTGTTATAGGAAAATCACTGCTTTGAACTACTAAGTAGATGTTTTAAGGCGTAACTATTACTGACTTAACTGGCTAGAGTAGGTTCAGGAGAGCAATTTTTGGAGATAAAATGCTAACAGTTTCCAAATTTTGCCAGAGAAAGTTGGTTTTAATGCAGCGTTTCTTTATTCAATAACTTAGTCTTTGGACTTTCACTTTTGGATTATTTTTAAAGAATGTGATGTCACCGATAAGAAGATGAACCTGAAGTGATTTGTGAAGGGATGAATATTATATAATTAATTTAGAGTGCCATGAATATTCACTGAATCTAAATTAAGTCTTGATATATTTAGTGGGCCTTATGTGCAAATATTTTTTGGCCATCAAAAGTTTTCATAGCTCTCAAAATTGGTTCCTGCTTAATCTTTGCGTAGGAACTGGAAAAACAAAATATATTTTACTAGGTAATTGGAGTGTTTTTATGGTATTAGTAGCTTTCTGTCTGATGGCATTTTCAGTAACTTTTGTTCATCTAAAAACAAGTTATGGATAACATTTGTTTATCTTATTCATAACATGATTACTATTGAAAAATACAGATCCATTAAAATACTTTACAGTTGATTAAAGAAAACAGAAAGCATTATGATAAACATTGGTCCTTAATTTAATAATCTATTGTTCTTAATTTGTTAATATTTAATCCATTAAAATTCAGAGCTCGCTGCTTGAAAGAGCCTTATGGAAGATGGAAAAAGTAATTTAGTTAATAGCAAAGCATAAATTCAGAGGACATTTTATGATATTTGATGGCCTATAGCAAGTGAAACCAGGTAGAGAGAAAAATGGTGCAGGGGGAGGTTGGCATTATATAATTAAAAGTATAGGCTTGTGTAGCTTGATTGTTCAGATTCTCAGCCAGTGTGATTCAGCATGGCCTTCCATGCTATATATTATTATGTGCTTGGAAGAAGCGCCATATTATTGGGTAAGTTAAGACCTAAGGGAATTATGGGATTTACTTTCCATTCCTTTTGAGCTGTTATAATTTACACATACACAACAATTTTGTTAGAATGAGATAGGAAAGTAAGGTTTACTGCTTTCCAACCTCTTTCAGCCTCTTTTACCTTTGTAGTTGCATGTTCCCAGATTATTTTCCTCACCTCCATTGGAACATGATCATTGAATCCATCTCCTATGATTTACTCATTTGCTCACTTAGTAGCAATCCCACACTCTGGGCCTCAGAGCATGTTACAGCTCAGGATAGAGCAGTTTGTATGGCCCCAATAGCCTGTACAATCATTAATTGAGATGTGACACTCAGGCAATACCGTTATGGTATCACCCAACAATTCAGTCAAAGCAGTTAAGGAGGCAGAAATTGGCTGGCCCAGTTTCTGGATTTTTGCAGTCATGTCACCTATTTATTAGCTATCACTTCTATACCTGTGGTATTTGGAACTCCAGTTCCTATACCAATTCCTTCTGATGGTGTTCCTGCTGTCCCCCTTTTTCCTTGTATGAGCCAATTGACTAATGTACCAACAATGTTCTCCATCCATAATATTCAGTCTGTGCAAATTCTTTACATGATGCAATAACATATGATAAATTTAAACATATTAAATCTAATGTTTCTTCTTTTAAAGAAAAAAATAGATCCCCCAAATATCTTTTCTCCTTGTTATCAGATATTATTTAATCAAAGTCATCACTCTAAGATTCTTTCGCTTTCTTCAGTACCGTTATTAGATTATTCAAACTTCTACCTAGTTTTGGTGTAGCAGTTTAAAAATAAGCTAGCCATATAAGAAAGCCGTTTTAACTTATATTCTACCTTCAAGTCAAAAGCAGTGCCCATAGAGATGTCCCATAATTTTATCTTTGTTCAAGAACCTCTGAACTTGTTTGGCCCAATCTTAACTACTGGTTCAAGTTCATTACACAATACTACTTATATAGTATTATACAATAACACTGTTCTGGCTTACATACAAGATCGACTTAAGGACACACCTTGGGAATGGAACTTGTTCTTAAACTGGGGACTATGTGTACTTTCAGTTGTTTATTCAATGTTTTCTTTCTCTTCTCTTTCCTGGAAATTTTAAATCTTTTTTCTGTATTTTCTTCTCTGTTCCTTTTTTTACCTTTCTTATATACTTTTTGTACTTTTAAAAATTATTATTTATGTATTTGATTTCTATAGCTGCCCATCTCAACAAGTGACTCTGGGCAGCATACAATCATAAAATGTTCTCAGGTCAACACATTAAAGACCAATGAAAAAGAAAAATTAGAGGGGAAAAAATATTTGCCCCAATATTGCCCCAATAACAACATCTTATCTCTTATTAAAATTTGCTGAGTAACTGAAATATTTTTTTCAGGAAGTGGTTTAGATAAGACATTAAAAGTCCTGAATTTAGCTTTTTTTCTCTCAAACTCTTTTAATGCATATTTATACTGTGCTAAAGAAGATGCTAAGGAGTTTCATTACCCAACTAGGTAACATCAGTGCTGATAATGTTGGGTAAAGAAATGTCTGCAAGCAAACACCTGAGCTCAGAGAGCATCAAGAACTCCACAGTTCAACCCTGAGCTACAGATATTCTCTTCTATTGGAAGATGCTAAGGAGCTGCTTAACTCTTTGTATCAAAACTTTCATATTACAGACAGGGACCAGCAGAAAAGAGAGAAGCTTATCAAAGCTGTTGAAAAATTCAAGAAAGAAGTAGCATCGAGCCGTTCTACACCCCCATGCCATTCTAGAAGTGTTTCCACTGAGAATCATAAAGTAAGATGACATACTATGTAGCCCTGTTTATGGGGAATGAATATGTCTTCCAAGGGATTGTGTTTCAAGGTCTCATGAATATATGAAAACCATTTCTGTGAATGAAAACACTAAGTTGGGAGAAGCTTGATGTTACAATCATCTATTATAAAAATGGAATATGGAGCCCATATCCTCAATTTATTTTCCTTAAGGTGCTGAACACCTTTGTTAGATGTGAGTTCAGCAGCAGTAAGAATAAACTGCTTTCAAACTCTATGATGTTTTTATTTTTTTATTTGATTTTGCTCAAGTTAAATTACATTATTATTGCATTAATAATCAGAATGTAAATTAGGGATTATGGTCAGTATTAAATCTCATTTGTCTTCTCCAGCACTTTTTTTAACCATCAGCAAAAATAACCCATGCAATTTTAGATGGTCCTGTGAGTTAGAACTGATATAAATATCAGTAGGACAATGAGTCAATTAAAGTGTTACTTTCTACTCATATTTTCATCATCTTACCCATCTTCCTCATTAGGTTATCTTTGCAAGACTTCTACATGGAAAAATGAAACTTCCTTTGCAATGTCACTTCCAGCCTAAAGAAACTTTCTGCTGATTCTAAATCATATCCTGATATCATTCTTTTATAAAGTACCATTTATCTGTAGCCAATTCTTGGTCTTTAAATGAATTAAGTAGGAATGAGGGTTCCAAGGAGTTCTTTAGAATGCAAGTGCTTGCACAGGTTCTCATATGCTTGAATTTTTCCTCCCACAAATAGAATGTATGTTTGCTATTTTTTTTTAATCTGCGCTGATAAAGCTAGCCCAGCTAGACTTAAACTTTTATTCTGCTATGCTGTGATTTTTATTGGAGATATTTGATTTTAAGCATGGGAAAGCTTCTAAACAGCAATTTCTGCCTGGAGTTTGGGATGGTAGAATTTGATTTTCCACCCATATTTTTAACAACTAATTCTGTTATATTTGTTCTCTTTTATTAGATTTCAGGCACATAACTCTAAGGTGCAGGTAGGCAATTACATTTTTAAAACATTCTATCCATTTTTCCTAAATTCTCAGTGGCTACAAAATCACCTGAATTTGGTTTCGAGAGGAAGAATGTCTCCTCTGAGAAAAGAGGAACAGCACTCTTCCAAACAGTTCAAGAAGATGTGTGCAAGTCTTCAGCCCCCAGTTTTGAATGCAGGAGATACTATTCAAGATTCAGCCTTATCTCACACATACAGAAATGCAGTCTGGCCATATGCTTCACCTCTTTCTCCATCTCGCCTAAGCGAAAAGAAGATGTGTCAAATCCCCAAGAAGAAAACGGTTAGCGGAGATCTCCTAGACACACATGCTGATTGGTTTACGGAAACAAAGCAGCCTTTTACCCCAAAGCTTTTAAAAACAGCAACCAAATCACTCCTTTCAAAATACAGATATTATAATCATCCATGCAGGAAGAAAAGCCTTTCCCCTCACCCACAGTCATACCAAAGACCAAGAAATGTTTACAGGTAATGTGTTTGTCAGCTTATTATCAACTGATTTACAAATAGTTGGTGAAGCTGAACCAACCTCAGCTTCAGACAAGTAATTTTAAACCGCTGTCAATGCTCGTATTTTTCTTTTTTCATCTTCCAGGTCTACGGATGATGAATGGCTAAGAACTTACGCAGATGACCATTCATGGCATCCACTCAAGGTTGCTATGCTCAGTTTGGTAATGGATTAAATTACGCAGGCAGTAACATTCATAAATATCAACAATACTATTAAAATGCATTGCGCATTGCTCGGTTTTTTATTTATCCATAATGAAGTTTGAATCCTCTACCCACTTTACCGCTGGACAAAAAAGTCTCAATTAGATACAGGGAGTTTTATTTCTGAGAAGACATGAATGAGATTGTGTTGTGAATAATGTTATTTGGTCCTTCTAACTAAAACTAGTTATGAAAGCAATTTAAAACTGCACTTCTTTGGGAAATCTAGCATTTCAGAGTGGATAATGATAGTGGTGTTTTGTGACTGTAGATCTAAAATTAGAGAGCTGCTTTAAAAACACAATGTTTAAAAACATAAAAGTCATAACTCAATTATCCGATCCAGAATTCTCCCTGCTAAAAGGGACTGTAAAAACACAATTCAGGTGTTCACTAATGTAGTCAGAAATTATGTGGGAGAAACACAATGTTATTTTGCTTTCCAGAAAGAAAAAAAACCAACTTTCCTTTAAAGCAGCTTTTCCCAAACATGTGCTTTCATGCTGAACTAAAACTTCCATAATTTGCAGACAGTATCACTGATTGTGGTCAGATGCACAGAGTTGCTTTAAAAGAACAATAGAGCACAAAGTCCGAAATTAACATTTCCCTTTTTCCTTTGTTTTTTGGTTATTGCTGCACATAGAACAACAGAAAAAGAGAACAGTTTGAGAATATAAGTACTTCATTGGAGTATTTAGTATCAAATGTGTATTCCTGTAACATTCACTGTAAGAATTATCCTATCTCTTCCCACCATAAATTAGCATTGCTTGTACTGTCTCTTTGGCAAAACATCAGCCAAGGACTGGATGGTGAATCAGGAGGTTCATTTTGCCTGTTTTTCAGTAAGAGGAAAGCAACAGCAAAAGAGACAATTTATACTTATTGCCTCTTTTAGGAGCCAGAGAGTTTTACAATATCACTGAAAAAAAATTACTAGGGACCTACAGATTTTAAATCTTGAAATCAGCATCTCATCATCATCCCAGTTTTTCATAGATGTAGAAGACCATGCAAATCCTGATGAAGTAGAAACAGCTGCCCCGGGGATGTACCCCAGTTACTGGCATTTTTCATAATTGTTATTTTCAAGAAAAAAGCATAAGCTATTGATCACAGCGTACATACTTCATTCTGACATTAAGAAATATCTTGGTGCATCAATTTTTCAGTAAGCACAAGTGGATTAGTTGGGCTGGTGGCTTAACCTGATAGCTTAAGACAAAGCAGAATATGGTCAGTCTCTCTCTCTCTCTCTCTCTCTCTGTGTGTGTGTGTGTGTGTGTGCGCGCACGCTTTGTAGTGCTGCCTAATTGTTAAGTGACTCAAGGCAGCATACAGAACAAGTGAGAAACACAATATAACAGTAAAAGAACCCAACAGAAAACCACAGTCCAGGTAATTTTTTAAAAAATAGCATATTAGTGGGTTCCTTTTGGCCAAGGGCCTGCTGGAAGAGCCAGGTCTTTATGGCCCTTGTGATGGACAGCATGATTTCTATGTGATCACGAGAAATCTTCATTTGTCTTTAATTTGAGTTAGCATTTGCATCTGAGAGCCTGAAGTCTTTGGACCAATCTGGTAAATAATCAGCATTCATGATATAGGATGTACTGTATTCAAAAGAAACATTTCCTCCAGTGGAACTGATGAATGAAAACTTATGTTGAAAGTGAGAGTGGAGATTAGAGCTTTGTGTTCTTTTAATGTTGTAAACTACTGCATGCTGGCTTTCTGAGGCGCGTGCAGGTTCAAATACCATAAATACATTAGTATCTACATTATATTGCACTTGGATATTAAATATAGGACAAAATTGTAGTTTCAGTTTGGCTGAGATGAATGCCCTAAACAAAAAGGCACTATATGGAATAGGGGAAAGACTGGAAAAATTGACTAGGAGAAGTTGGTATAGTTTTTAACTCCCCAAAACCCACCTCTAATAGTAGTGCCCTTCATGCTCCTGAACAGCAAGTCTGAAAGACTATTTCTACTTTTTGCTGAACTAATGCAAGACCTAAGTTTGGGAGAAGGGAAAATTAAGGCAAAAATGTAATAGAACCTTTTTCTTATTTCCATATCAAATAGAATGATTCAAGCAGTTCTTTGGTTGCAAGATTCTAATGGTCCAGATTATTAACAGTGAACTGTCCTTAGCTCTTGGAGGATGGAGAATGCATTCAGAGCTACCTTTATAATTTTGTTTCAAATCTGAAATTGCAATGCAATCTTACAATTCCCTTTTCAAGCACACACTGCAATGCAATCATACAATTCCCTTTGTAAGCACAAAAGTATAGCTAATATGCCCAGTTTCCTTGATTTAAGAAATATTATTCCAGAAATAATGCCCTGAACATGAATAGTTGCTGAAAGTCAAAGTAAAAGATGGTATTTACATACCATTCAAAAGACACAATAAAAAAGCTAAGAAGGAAACTAAAAGACCAGAACACATCGTCTCCAGCAGCCAACATCTAGATAAGCAGGGATTAACACCAGGCAAACAAGCAGAAAACAATACCCTAATCAAGGAACCACCAAGGAGAAAACCACACCCCCACCAAAACTAGCAGGACAAGCTACTGTATATAGAGAGGGAGCAAACCCCACACTCATTTGCGCTGATGATGTTACCTAGTTGGATAATGAAACATCTGTTGAATCCTTGGTGCTCTGAGCTTGGTTGTTTGCTTGCAGGAATACTGGATCCATACTGGATACACACACACACACACATTCCCCCCCCCCCACAGGGAGCAAACCCCACACCCTCTAGCACTGATGATATTACCTAGTCGGATAATGAAACATCTGCTAGCAAACAACCAAGCTCAGAGAGCATCAAGGACACCACAGTTTTCTGTGTCCACCAGAAGGAGAAGCTGGGACTTTTGACTCTGTATATATGTGACCAAGAACATCTCTCCCTCATGGGAATGTATATTCTATGTCTGGCAAGCAGCCTGCTATATTGTGAATATCTGGCAAGGAGGCTACATTCAGAAAATACTAAGTAATTTCAATAGTGAGGGCTTGTGAAAAGGCTAGTTTCCCGTTTGCAGAACTCTTGTATCATTGTACCTTCCAGCTTCCTGCAAAGATTCAAGCACTGTAGCATCTTGGTGAATCACTGATTTTTCACTGGTATTTAAAGGCAGCAAAGGAGAGTGTCTTAGTAGCCTTTTAGATTCTCCTTCCAACACCAACCATTCAGATTTTAGGAGAAACCCCAAAATCATCCAGTAGAAGTACTGATCTAATGTAATTCTATTCTATTCTATTCTATTCTATTCTATTCTATTCTATTCTATTCTATTCTATTCTATTCTATTCTATTCTATTCTATTCTATTCTATTATTTGAGGGTCAGCAGCAGTGAAGTTGACCTCAGGTCAGTGTCAAATTACTTTTGTTGGACTGAGGTATAGAAATGGTGGTGTGGAAGTGTCCTTAATTATATCCTGTCAAACATAGAGGGTGCATAAAAATAGGCAGGATCTGTGTACAGATCCAAATTGGATGTATGGGTAGTGCATGTCTTTTATGTACCAGTATTTTTATTAAAAAGTACAAAAGCAATATATACAGATGCAGATAAGGTATGTGCAATATATATTATATATCCTATCTCTTAAGAGCTGGTCTTGTTGTCCTGCATCTGAAAGAGACCATGTCTTGTTCTCAAGTACCTTTGCTTCTATGAGTTACTGAGGCCTTTTCTTTATACACAGAGAGACATGTTGTGCCTTATGATCTTGCCCATTCAAACAGGGTTTTTTTTTCAGAAAAAGCAAATAATAGTCAGTCTAGCACACATGCTCAAAATGTAGTTGCTATGAAGCTAACTATTATGAAGCTGCCTACATATAATACGGTAGATCTATGCAAGGTGCCCTAGATTTGTTGTGATGAAGAGATTGACATTGCAGAGGTGATGTGCTTCTCTTAATTGAAATAAAGAAGGGATAGAATTTGTTTATAAAAAAGATTTTGCATTGCCTTGAAGCTTATTGCTATTCCCTACATCTCCCTTGCAAAGCCAGAAGAGCTTTGATCCTGACACTGTGTCTAGGCAGATGCCTCCTTGGGCTTTGGCAAGGCCATGCTGGAGAAGACAAAGCTGTGCATTCTCCAGCACAGTTTGTCAACACTTGGGGTGAGTGATGAGTGGCATGTCCTCTGCAGCATTTGTTAAAACTTTGCAAAGCAAAGTGAAGCAACATGGTTGCTTTGCTTCAATCCTGGAACAAATGTTCGCCAAAGCAAAACACCTATTCAGTGATTTGCACAGCCTTAATATAAAGCAATGAGCGAGATAAAACAATTCCTTATTTCTTTTTCTTTGTGTTTAAAAATTATAGAAACATTCTGGGAACTCAATTTATATTCAATCACTTCTTCAAGCAAAGTAAGTGAGTTATGCATTTATTTTTAATAAGAACACCAACGGACTGCTCCTGTTCCCTGTGTAACAAAATGTTAAAATTGTGGCTGCTTCAAGGAACCTGAAATATAATGACAACTCCTTTGTAAGAGCATAACAAGGGTTCTGAATGACCCAACCAAAGGCCTATCTAGTCTGGCCTCTTCTTTTCCACAGGAGGCAATCAGATACTTCTGAGTCTGGAAGCAGGATAAATGATCTAGCTATGCTAATGTAATCTTCTCAATGATGAGAGCTGGTGATATGCAAAACTTACCTCAGGGATGCAAAAAATATCACCTAGGCACTTCATGCAGCTTACCCATGTCTCTTTTGCTGTCCTCAGAATAGATTTGGCCATGCTTTTTCTGCATTTATTGTGTGTTTGTGTGTGTTAAGGGACAGAGCATTCTTTGCTTCCGAAAGGTGCCATGTTCTCTCCTGGTTCTGCTTATGGTTGGGAAGGTTATTTTGAAACTTTAAAGAACTGTTGTCAAGATGATGAGTTTAAAAGTCTTTTTACACCACATTGGAATCACTGCTGGTTCACTATCATGCTATACCATAATGTGGGTTGTTAGGTTTTGCCTTAATGTCTTGGATTTCTGACAAGGGTGGGTAACCTTTTGATGGCCAGATGTTGCACTTGACTTTTGGGGAGGACTGAGCTAATAACACCAGGTGGGCTGATTTTTTGGTTTGTTTTTAACTGGCTCAAGAGACAGTTTACTTTTTCCCCTTCATTTTTAACATAATGTTAAGCTTATTTTAGGGCTTACTCAATAGGTTTTGTGTCTTTACACCTTATAATGGTGTGAAACTTTTTTTGTTCATTGTGAGAAAGTCACTTCAGGGGGGTATAAGAAAGACTTCAGGGGCTATAGCTACAAATCAGTGGTTTAGTGATATTTATGGTATGGCGCAACTATGACTACAAAAGTCTTCACTTAACACAGAGTGTGAACCCAGCTGTGAATTTGTAGCTCCTGGATAATGTCCAGACATGTGAGTAGGCCTCTGCAGTAAAATGAGAAAATGAGATGGCTCCATGCATATGTTAATGTGATCAAACTTAATCCTTACGTACTTGCATCCTGGTGTCTGACACAAGAACATAAGTTTTAGGGCTTGTGTCATGACATCATGACATGTGTATTGTCACTTCCCTCCCCATGGACAATGGATAGGCAGACTTCAACTCCAGAATTCCCAACTAGAATAAACGTTGAGAATTCTGGAAATTGAAGTCTACTCATCTGGAGGATGCCAAAGTTGAGAAAGTCTGCATCATGTTTATATGATTAAACTGGCTTTTAGGTAACTCAGTTCAAATTATTTGCCAGTTTTAGTGTTAGCTGTAGGAAGCAAAGAAAAGTGAAAACATGAGAACTGCTTTTCCACTGATATATCTATTCTGATTTTTGTCTCTTTTTTAAGAGACGAAGAGTTGAAGTACCTTCAGTTGCTTCAGGAAGTTACAAATTATATTTTGATTAGAAGTTGTTACTGGAAAAAGTGAGTACTCAGATATTTTAAAAAATAATTTATTTCTGTAAAAAGTATGCAAAATATGTACTCCTAAGTTGGAACACTTTTCTTCATTTTAGCATAACTTCCACCTGTGTTGGGTCTAAATTGGAATAAAACTGGCAACGATTTCAGTAGATACTGTTCTTTATTTAAAACCACAGCATGTAAAGCAATCCAACAGTAAATGTAGGGTAGTCTAAATAAATCCTAACAAAACAGTGTTGTATCTTTGTCCCAACAGAAATAATACAATTCTTGTTTCAAACTTTTCTGTCAGCAAATTCAAATGCTTGTCTGATTCCTCAAGATGCTGAATGTTTTAATTGCTCCCGTGTAGACGCTTGTGTTCTAGCAAAAAGCAATAATGGCAATTTGCAGTTTAAATTCATAACTCTGCAATATGAGAATCTGATTCCCTTGCTCCTTACAATCCAACCAACTACATGTATCAGTTCAATTTATCTTATTCAAGGAATAAGAACCCATTATCATTATGTAGCTTTCCAGTAATCACCTCCCCAGTAGAGAATGCCAAATTTTTCTCACCCCTCTTTCCTTGAATGAGGTTTCCTCCTTTATAAGGCTAAAGCAAAATGCACATGAAGGTTATACTACTGTATACATATGGTCATTCAGACAATGTCATACATGTTTGACACTTCTTGCATCAATTCCAACATACGTACATGTGACTAAATATAAATAGGAAAATATGAACAGTAGGATCTGTTTCAAAGTTTTAAATTGTTTTAATACATACTGTATCTAAAGAACTCACTGACTGAAGACATCTAAAGAAGCATGTTAGTAACAGTGAGGCCAATATTACTAAAGTACCTTTAGTGCATTAAGCATGTGGCAAAGCAAGACCTATTCCATTAAAAGATGTAGTTGTTGATGATAACATTAATGGTTAATGTATATCCCAACTTTCCATGCAGAGGGCACTTACTCTACAGTTGATAAGCAAAACCCTGGGGGAATGTTGCCTCTAATTAGGTGGTCTTAAAAATAGAATGCTTCCATGATGTGGGCTAGGTTGAGAAATGCACATTGCTTGCTAACATAGACTAAAGAAATTACTTTATCTCCCATCATCCTTTGTAGCACACAGTAGGGACAATAGCTTTATCAGGCCAGAAGTTCTTCTGCATTGTGAAGGCATTGTTGGTATAGACCACTTTTGATCCTTCTGCTTACAGTACAATACATGATACTCTTCAAACAACCCCAAACATTTTTTTATTTTCTGGATTTTTTTCACCTGCAACACCAAGAGTGCAGGAAGCAATACTGACAATCATCAGAAGAGCACAATGTTGGGAAAGGTTGCTCCAGTTATCACAAATGAATTATTCCATGGTACAAATTAACTAAATCATCAACATTTGAAGTCTTGTGCTTTGCTGAGCAGAACAAATAGGGCTGTTTCAGGAAATTTGCATTCCTTCCAATGCAACACATTTTTAATTTTAAGGCCAAAGGTTAAAGGAAGTAATAGCTCAACCATCTTTGCATTTTAAAATACACAGCATTGATAATTGTTTGAATGCTGTTTTTCATATTATGCATTCTTTATGCATGTACATTCTTTATAAATATGTAATTATACATTTTATATGTATGTATAATACATGTATACTTGTTATATATGTATAAGGAATGCTTGAGTTAAAAATGTATTGTTTGGAACATGATTGTACATGTACTTATATGCAGATGATGTGTTATTGACACGTGTGATGCAATGAAAAGATGTGGTCTATTCAGTGTGGCTTATCCCCAAATATGAGTGGGTTGTAATTCTATTTTGGTGTAAATCCTACTGGATTCAAAATGAATTATCTTCCTTTAAACATATCACTGAATTGTGCTTTAAATTATATCTTCACAAATATAATGTGTGAAGTAACCTCTTATTTCTCATGGGGACAGTTTTACCTGTTGATAACAATACTATGGAGATTCTTAAGTGACTGAAGATCCAGGAGTTGTTTTTTTTTAAGTGCCTTGAAAACAAAGTTAATATCTATGGTTCTTGTTCTTTTTATTGATGTAGTTTGCTTTCTTTTTCTTTTTTAATTTTCTTTTCTTTTTAAGGTCATTAGGTGATATAATTCAGATGCATATTAGAAACAGGTATGACCTTGATGAGGTGAGTAATACACATAAACACTGAAATGTATTCCAGCAGTGGAATAGTCTTATGCATGTCTAGAACAATTTATATTATTTAGGCTGCTACACTTTTTAATTAAGGGAAGAAAATCAGGTGCCAACATGAAATGACAGCTACAAGGTGAATTATATGGGCAATAGGCACAAAAGAAAAAAAAACCAGGAAAAAATGTTTCCTTTATCTCCACAGTACAACTAAGCAAAGCAATGTTTGATTAAATAGGTAGCAATCTGCATTCTGAACTAGCCAAATGAGGATCCTTCTTGTAAAAAATATTTGCCATTTTTCATTTCTGCCATTTGACACAACAGATAAGGTCAGAGAGAATGTTTAACTCTCCACTTATAGAAATGGATCCTTCCATACATTGTTAAATTGTAAAGCCTTGGGAGAAATGCTCAATTTCTTCAAGGTTCAGAACTTTAGCATGAAGCCTGAACAGATGGTACAAAGTGCATGTTGAATAGAATTCAGGAGTATGGTGACAGTTGCATGTTCCAATAGAAATACAAAATTGGTTGGGTGAATAGATCATTTATAATTCTTCATAGCTTTGGGTTCTTTAGATTGATTGATTGATTAATTATGTGCCATCAAGTCATTTTCGACTCCTAGTGACCACATAGATAGATTTTCTCCATGACGATTTATCTTTATATAGTTTGGCTAAAAGCTAGTTCTTTTGCTAGATGTGCTGCAATGTTAATGTGAGAAGAGGGGAAATTATTAAACACATGTGGAATAATTTTTCCAAAAGGATTTAATTAATATTATTTTAAATACATACTTTTTGGAGAATGGACCCCTGTGTGCCACCAAAGGTGAACTACTGTCCTCAGCCTGAAAAAGTTAAGTATCTTGCTCTTTAATTTCAGAAGATCTTGCTTAAATTGGCCCGTTGTCTGTTAATTCCAGAGTTTGGTTTCCAACTATAGTCAAAGAAATATTTCTAGGAGTCACATCTATTTGGTCATTTCCCCTACTGCCCTTTTCCTTCCCGGGAAGGAAAAAAACACTACATTTTTATTATCTTGCTGAAACACTAGCTCATTTCAGAAAGCAAGTTTTCTCACATAAACCTTGTACACTCAAATCTCCAAAACTGATTGTTTGGGTAAAAGAAACAATCCTTATCTTTCTTGATTATAAAACTGCAGCATTTTCTGGTTAAGTATTGGCATTCTTCATCAGCATTCTCTAAAATCAGAGGTTATATGGGAATTTACCAGGTTCCTTATAAAGACAATTAAGAGATAATCTAGGTAATTGCAGAATAATTGGATGGTAGAATTGCTTTGTATGGGATCACTGTAATGGAACATTTTAGCAACTGTAATGTTCAGACAATAGTGTGAATAGCATTCAGTAGGCTGTACAGAATCTGTTAAAGAACAATTGGAGCAGAATTTGGGTTAATTTCTGTAGATTATGGTACTTGGCAAAAATTACTGATTAAGGGCAATTGATTTGTAATGTGCCTGAGCCAGGCAGTTTAGAATTCATCTCTTTTAAGGTTACATCCCACAAGCTGCAGAGATTTTAGATATAGAGAGCTTTTAGTATGACTGTATCAACAAATTGATAACTGTGGTAATAGCCCAGTAAATTTTTTACAGAAGGCTTCTAGCTATGAATTGATCACCAAGCAACATGCAGTCCTTTCTATGTCTACAGTGATTGACTGATTGATTGATTATGTGCTGTCAAGTTGGTGTCCACTCCTAGCAATCACAAAGATAGATTTTCCCTATGATGACCTGTCTCTAACCTGGTCCTTCAAGGCTTCCAATGGTGCACCCATCACCACTGTAACTGAGTCCATCTTTTGCTGCTCTTCCTCTTCTTCTTCCTCTCTTTCCTTCCACCTTTCCCAGCATCACAGCCTTCTCCAGACTGTATACGAAGTAGGATAGTTTGAGCCTGGTCATTTGTGCCTCAAGTGAGATCTCTGGGTTGATTTGTTCAATGATCCATTTATTTATTTTCATGGTTGTCAATGGTATTCTCAGGAATCTTCTCTAATACCAATCTTCAAAAACATCAATACTCTTTCTATCCAGCTTTTTCAAAGTCCAGCTTCCATAAAATATCACATGGAATAGCATTGCTTGCATTCTTCTGATCTTTGGAGGTATAGACATATCAAGACATCTGAATATTTTTTCTAAGGACTTCATAGCTATTCTGCCAAATGCTATCCTGTGGTTCATTTCTTGACTGCTTGTTCCTTTACCGTTGATGGTTGATCCTAAAATCCAGAAGCTATCTGTCACTTCAATATCTTCATTGTGGGTTCTAAGGCTGGTTCTTATACCTGTTGGCATTACTTTGGCCTTCTTTATATTAAATTGTAGTCCCATTTTTTCACTGTACTCCTTGACTTTTATTACTGAAGCTTGCAGATCCTTTGCATACCTACAGTGGCTTTTCTCACTCTGTATCATCCAATGGAATCTGAATTCCCAGCCAGCACCAAAATAAAAAAGGATGAGGTACGGTGAGACTGTGTTATCAATTCAGGGTGGGTGGATATGACATATTTACCCTATTCATCATCCAAGGAATTCACACTGGCATACCTGCTTTTCCCTCCCTTTAATCCTGTAATGAATTTAAGTTTCCAAAGCTAGTGAATCTCAAAGGGTAGGTGATTTAAAGTAGAATATTTCTGGTTCACATATTAATTCCATTCTACCACACCAGATTTGTGTTTTTAAAAGCAAAAGGTGGAATCTGCCCATTAGCATCTATTTGTGAAGGATGGGGGGCAAATGGTGTCCTCTAGAGTCCCAGTATGATCCTGCCCATATCCTAATTCTTCACCTAGCATAGTATACTATTTAAATCAGGATTCTCCAAAGTGGTTAATATTGACCCCCAAGGGTTGATGGGACTATCTATTATTAGGATGATGATGATGATGATGATGATGATGGTTGGTCGCACAGTCAGCCTGATGTTAAGACTGGATTTGGCATTTTTATCCACCTATCAAGTCCTTCCCAAGGACCTGGGATAGGCAGATGTTGTTTTTTGATGACATTAGAGGTATTGTTGCAGAATATAAGCTGTTCTAGGTAAAGCTGCCTTTTGCAATTGACGATGATTTTGTCAATGCCAATGGTCTTCAAGTGGTCTCCAGATGTTTTGAGATTGCACCTAAGGCACCTATAACTATTGGTAGTATCTTTGCTTTCTTTTGCCATAGTCATTCTATTTCTATTTTCAGCTCTTTATATTTTGTGATTTTCTCCAGTTCTTTCATTTCTATTCTGCTGTCTCCGGGTATTGCAATGTCCACTATCCAGTCTTTTTTC